GATGAATATTTTTTGTCATTTTTGGTAAAAAGTGATATTTAGCTCCGCTGTCGACTTTGTCGAGCGGAGCTTATCATATGAGTGATTGTCCGTCGTCGTCGTCGTCGTCCGTCGTCCGTGTCAATGTTTTACTTTTTCGACTTCTTCTTGAAAACTACAAGCCTAAATGCTTTGATACTTGGTGTATATGTACCTTGGGTAGACCTCTCTTAGGTTTGTTTATTTCATGTTGATATCTTTAATTCTCTAATTTTGGTGAATATTTTTGTCATTTTTGGTAAAAACTGATATTTTCGACTTCTTGTTAAAAACCGCAAGTGCAATTGCTTTGATATTACATTTATAGGTACTACATGTGGACCTCTCTCAGATTTGTTTATTTCGTGATGATATCTTCAATTCTCTAATTTTGGTGAATATTTTTGTCATTTTTGGTAAAAAGTGATATTTTTGACTTCTTGTTAAAAACCGCAAGTCCAATTGCTTTGATATTACATATATAGGTACTACATGTGGACCTCTCTCAGATTTGTTCAATTTGTGATGATATCTTAATTCTCTAATTTTGGTGAATATTTTTGTCATTTTTGGTGAAAAGTGATATTTTCGACTTCTTGTTAAAAACTGTAAGTCCGATTGCTTTGATATTGCATATATAGGTACTACATGTGGACCTCTCTCAGATTTGTTCGTTTTGTGATGATATCTTCAATTCTCTAATTAATTTATTTTGGTGAATATTTTTGTAATTTTTGGTAAAAAGTGATATTTTCGACTTCTTGTTAAAAACTGTAAGTCCGATTGCTTTGATACTATTCATATTGTTCATTTTCTAATGATGTCTTCACTTCTTTAATTGAAATGTGCATTGCTAACAGCGGAGCTATCTTTCATATTTGGCACAGTTTGTTGTATAATCAGGTCAAATTTGGCTGACTGGCATTCATCTTGTTTTTTTGAAAAATGTAGTTTCTTTGAAATGATTTGTCGGTTTTTGTTCCAATTTGATACAAACACTACTAGTATATATGTTGAGATACATGTCCTTGGTGATTTGTTTCGTGTTCGAATCCAAAATGACCAACTGGGAGCCATCTTTTTTTTTTTGAAAATATATCATTGACATGTTTTGTTTTGTTTTTCAAATTATACATGTTAGAATACATGTCCATGACAATTAGTTTCACAATCTGATCAAACATGGTGAACTGCCTGTAATCTTGCTTTTTGACTATACTACTACCGGTTTGTACATGAGCTCAGACAAAGGAAATAGCACATCCTGTTTAATTTCTGGCTATATATTTAGATTTTGGAAGAGTAATTTAATACATCTAATTTTTGTTGATACTAGACCAGCCATTTATTCACTCACAATTACTAATTCTGCTTTTGATTCGTAACTTTATTTTGGCATGAATAATTCCAACGAGGACTATGTCATTACCAATGACTTCTATTAATTAAAAGGAATAGAAAGTGGAATTCAAAACTACATTTGACCATCCTTCTTGTCTAATTTTTTTTATGTTATGCATGTCCTTTCCTGAAACTCCTAGAGAATTCGATAATATTTTCGTGAAGAATTACAAATTATGGACATTCATATTTGAATGTTAACTGAACGTTCCATGATGATATCTCGGAACAGATTGTATTTGATTCATTCTCCGGTAAAATATATTTGTATGGTGTTAATTGTAGTTCAAAACCCAGAGTATGCACAACAAAGCTAAGAAGAAAAAGTACTTTCACGGAGAGGCCTTTTTCATAAACTCATGACTATTCAGAAACTGCATTTATCTTAGGGGTCAAATGATTTTTTTCTTTTTTTTTTCTTTTTTGCATTCAAGTTTCCAACAATGTTGACACTGTTTATTGAAGGAATTCTATATTGCTGTATTTGGCAATAATACTGATTCTAGGTTTGTCTTTTCATTTGGTGACTTCCCAATAAATCTGTAATCAGGTTTTCAGCATAATTTCTTTCACAATTTGGATAGTTTGGTCAAACATTTTAAACAAATTATCATGAACATTTTAAAAAACACTTCAGAATATTCTGAACATTTCAAAACACAGCCATAAAATAAAAAAAAAACATTTGCATGCGCCACCAACGACAAAACTATCAAATTGAATTATTCCTTCGGAAGGTCGGTTGTGGGCGTACCTCTCCATGTCTGCAATATAACTTTGTATTCGTCTCAGTCAATCATGGTCGAGACATCGTTTCAGCGAAAATCTCGTTGCTGTTTCAAACAACAGATGGAACGCAGAAAAAACATCGTTTTCAGTCACGATAAAAAGGGACAGGACGACGATGGCAATGATTTGCTCAAGCCATCCAAAGACTATATAGTCTTTGAGCTATCCAAGATGACAGGTAAACATTAAATGTCACACGAGTACGGGAATCGTCTGGATAGAAGTTATTTAAAGTTTCGATTAGTTTTTAGTCGTCTGTAATCTGCCATTTACTTTGATCGATCGGCGGTGTGATATTTATTTTGTATAGACTTCACTATTTAGAGAAAGGGGGGGACGGTTGATGAAGTGCTATGATATTATACTAACGCTCAAATTTATTGATCGTTTTAAGTATTATTAACACACAGTAAATAATTCTTTTTGGTAAGAAATAAGGCCATTGATTGTAAATGTAAAAATAATGAAGTTCTGGTTTTGAATGATAAATATGCCACAAAACCGAAATAGACAAAGATAGAATTAAAGGACTAGACATTGTCAAAATCACGATGGAAAACTGTGTGAACGAATCTTAAGCGTAGTATTAATGATTCTAAAAACCCAGAACTGTTACAGCGAAATAGTTAGGTACGTAATTAAACAACTTGCAGTACAGGAAAAAAATAAAAATGAGAAAATAAATCCATGCCAAATTAGACTGAATTCAAAAATAAATTAAACTTTTGATACAAAATACAAAACAAAGAATTTCTGTAACTAGATCATAATTTAGCCATTTAAAAAGAAAGACATACCAACCAAAACGTTGTTGGAAAATGAGATGTGTGGACATTGTTCATTGTACGACGTAGAAGATGAAATACAATTGTGTAACTACATAGAATGTGCATTTCAAGTGAATAATGTTGCTGAATTGTTCGAGTTTTGGAGATCGAGGTACACAAATGACCACGCCCACTTTTGTGCAACCTTGCCCAAATTGTAACTCGATGTTCAATTAACAGTTAACAGGATTTCGAGTTACTAGCAACACATATTATTGTTTTTGTGGAACGTCCACATTTAGTAACTCAGTTAACCGAGTTTCAGGAAACATAGATTTGTTGTTTTGTTTAACGTATATATTAACTCGAATGTCGTTCTAATGAATATACTATATTTATTTAGTACGTCCATGATTTATTGAAGTAAAAAGCACAAAATCCTAGAAGAAGCAATACTTTGAAATGTCATCCCACGAGTTGGTGTTTGCACAGAAGACACAGACACAGTTCCATTTATATCCTGTCTATAACGCTGGTGATACAGAACGTGTCAAATTGTGTCGTATTCAGAACTTGGCAGAAACAAGCTCTGTGTGTTTAGTTGAGTATTGCATACAAATAGCATTCAAATGATGTCACTAAGCATCAAAAGTTGATTCAGATGAAAAATAATTAAACAAAATCTAAAATAGCAACATATATATTGATGACTGTTTTGTCAATGGTTTTGGAAAGGCAACATACACTTCATGAATTCCCAGCGAAGTAATTGCAGTTTGTCATTATCATTCGCACGCAATGACCACATTCGATTTCTTTACATCATGCTAGTTTTGCTGAGACCTTGTAATCATCACAAACACTATATATGTGCAAAGAACTTGAGTTTATATAGTTTTTGGCTTGATGTGTTTTTTGGCCGGAGAGCAGTAAGAGTAAGTATTATTTGATAAAGCAATGATGATTTCCACCAGAAATGTTCACAGTTTTATAATATTTGAAATCTCCTTTTATTTGCGGGATGTTGTGATAATTATAGTAGTACCAATAAGCCATTCTCCAAATATCAGTAGTCTAGACAAAATATACTGACAAAATCGCTGGAGGCGGAACATCACAAACCCCCACAAGGGAGTCAGACCAGGTGCACGTGTAGGGTAAGCATCTGCTGCTGGCATGCCACACCCGCCGTGATGTTTTAAAGTCATAACAGGGGAAAATGTCAAATCAAGTTTTTATGGACAAACACTCACACCAAGCCACAATGACAAATTAAACACGATCACATACATCAATCAACAAACAAATCTGCAATCATGTTACAGACAGAAATCCCATAGGAAGCCACCAAATCATGATGGTGACCAAACAACTTCTTAAATGCACGTTTAAGTCGAGGAATCACAAACCATTGGCTTATCAACTTGGCAGTTAATAGCCGAGATCTGGTACCTAAAACCTAGAACATGCCCCGAGTAACGCACAAACTGTGAAATATAAACTCCATACGCTGGTGATGTAGGAATATTGCTATCGATATATGGAAAGTTCACAATAGCAACATTAACATCGTCACGCTTGTCATACATCCTAGTATGCAGTTTTCCACTGCAGTCAAATTCGAGTAGTAGATCAAGATATGAAGCAGAATTCAGTGTGTCAGTAGTATCCTTAATTTAAAGTTCATTAGGATAAATACATGTAATTAACTACTGAACTGGGGGTTGTTTAGTGACAGAACATCATCAATATAACAAAATGTGAAACGAGCCAGTTTCTTGGCTCCATTTTGCATTAAACCTTCAATGAATTCCGCTTCATAAGAATACAAAAACAAATCGGAAAGCAAAGGGCGCAATTAGTGCCTATAGGAATACCAACAGTTTGCTGAAAGACTTGCCCACCACAAAGATCAAATATGTTGTCAATGAGAAAATTAATCATTTTCACTAAATCGTCTTCACTATACTTCTGTCTTGAATCTGTGTGATTTTGCAGCTATATAATTTCTTTCAATGATGTTTATTTTGAGTTGAAATTCAAGAGCAAAACAAACAATACCTTCGATATTAAGAAAAGATTTTAAACTATTCATAACATAATTATTCCCTTAATCGTTATGGAAGTGTGAGACAAAAGTTGAGTAGTTATATTAACAATTTGTTTTTTTTTCGGCAGTGTATTTTAAAACTTAAATTGAATTATTGCATGACTGTCTACTATTAACCAACTAATATACACAATATGTCTGTTATAAAGATGGTGAATATGGGAGTAAAATATAATACTGAAAATATTTACAAGAATAAAATTGTCATAAATACACATGTTATTTGCATTAAGCTTAAAATGACCATGAACTTTGGTCGTAATTTCGAAGCACTCAACATACTCAATTTGAACTCTATGTAAATAGGTCTTTGGAAGATGAGCAAATAAATATATAAATGTACTCACATAATATGTGTTCTAAAAGATACCTGTTTGGATGAATTAGTAATGTGCGACAAAGGAAGTTATGGGTCCTTTGTTACATATACAATGCTATGCGTGTTTATATCAAATTCGAATCACATTGCACAACAACTGCGTTGCTTTGAGTGGAAGTTAACTTAGAGGATTTTCCGTACAATTGCGAGATCTCGCGAGATGCATGAAAGACGCGCGTCGAACGTCTGCCGCAAAAATTGAACGATTTGATTTTGAACTAGAGTTTCTTTATTTCGTAGCTCACATCGACCGGCCGATCTTCGACAGAGGAATATTGCTTCCGAATACCCTTACTTAATCGAAATTGCCTATCATCAAATGTGTACAGCACATTATTGACATGGAAATGTCCCCGAAATACTTTCGCGTTTGTCGAATCCTACGCGATGTTTGACGCGACTACGACGCTATGACCTTTGTTTGTCCTGTTTTTACGTTCGATTTCACGCATAACGCGGGATTCTCGCAGTGAACGGAAAATGGTCTATTTTCAATCCTGTAAATGCTTAGTAAAATTAGTTTGTGTTTTATCCTTCAGTACAGTTATTTTCTTAAACCAGTTTCGTTATTTCACGATAAAACCACATAATATTCACATGTAATTGAGAGAAGTCCTGTTATGCTTTTGTTAAACATGTGCTTACATTAGCATTTCATCGTGTCTTAATCGTTCTTGTAATACGTGGCAGTATAAATTTTAAATTGCATTACTTAATAAAACACCGATGAATAAAAACGTGAATATGTTACAATAAAAATATATATTCTTAAAATGCATACAATAAAATGCATACAATTTGTAAAGCGATGTATTGTCCCCATTGTGTTATAAAACATTTCAACATTATCGTCTTAGTTTATGTCGTATCAGCTGATACACTAAATCAATAGCTTCACAAACAGTAACCATGGTTACACCAATATACAGCCCCAGTGTACCTCCAATGTCACTGAATAATTTGAAAACCTAATAAAGAAAAACAGTTTGTGAGTGTCTGTGTACACAGAAGGGTGATCTGTTATGTATACGAGTGAATGGGGTTTACAATCATAATAGTTTATAGGAAACGGTTATACCTAGACTGGCAAAGTCGGGACTTCTTTTTTGTTTAAAAAAATAATCGTCAGCTTAGCCTTTTTAGCGTGATCGCGAAATCTGGCGTGACCTTTCGCGGTCACGTTAGTTTTCGCGATCGCCCTAAAAGGACTAAAAACAATTACTTATTTCTTTTTGTAAAACAAAAAGGAAGTCCCGACTTTGCCAGTCTAGGTTATGCCATACAAATATAATATATCAAATGTAATACCAATAATTATCATCTAAGAAAAAAAAAGTATATTTACCCCGTATGCTGGATATTCGGATACTTGTTCGTAGTTTAATTCCTCAAAGTAAATTTCCAAACTTGCAAGATTCTCACTAAAATACAACATAGGTCGTGATTAATCGCCATATGCATTTGCTCTATTGGGGGAATACCTCTCGTGGGACACATGAATCTAAACATTGCATTGTACCATTAAAATATGGCTTGGTTTGACAATAGACATGACTATGTCATTTAAGCGCATGCGTACAGAGTGTGAATCAGGCAACTGTTATTTCTATTTGTTAAATGTTCAAAATTAAAAATATTCCAAATAAATTAATAATTTATAAGTTATATTGTGTTTTTACAGACAATCCGATCAAGAGTGCATGACAGCAGAACAAACAGCAGAAAATAATGTATGTATAATATACATAATGGCCTTAAACCAGGAACAACAGCTAAAACATTTTCAAATATGGAATGCATAATGTTGCATAATTGGTATGTTAGTTGTACATGCTTATTCTACATGCTTATTCTACATGTTTACCTGATGGACTTTTCGTCATTCAGATTTCTTGCTTTGTCATTCTCCGAATGTATGGTACGTAGTAAATGAGCCTGGTGATATAAATAACAATAAAATTATTATTCACACAGTAACAAGGGGTTTACTAATCACTATAGTGAATTTCAACAGAAATCGTACAAAAACACATTGTCATTTCCAACAATAGTCTCAAAACGTAATATCTTCAGTACTCCTATTTTTCAGTTTGAAACACGCGCGGATTTAGGGGGAGGCGCGCCAGGCGCATAAAAAAAAATTGACAAATCAATTGACAAACCCAGTCCACCGGAGGTGCACCTTCGGTCACGTCAATAGGAGCGCGCCCCCTTACCGAATTTCTGGATCCGCCAGTGTGAATAGTTTCAGTTGCCTGTTTTGTAATCCAGAAATCTAATGGGAACCATTTTCCCCATTAGCACGATGTGAAGATAATCATTATAAAATTGAAACTGATATTAAACTTTGTTCTGATCTTATTTACTATTATTTATATGATCATACAATATACTGACACCACTCTCATTCCAACTGTTACAATAAACCCAATTACGGCCTATCGCAACAGCTGTTGCTGTTGGCAATATGTAGTATCCAATTTATTAATATATCAAATCAATATTCATATCAGAAATAAACAAAATATTCATATCAACATTAACTGACATTTACAATCAATCGTCTGAAATATGAGTGTATGTTTAATATACTCTAACCTTAAAATTATCCGATTCCCCCTCCCCCTCCTCTATCAGTTGAGTCATCCATCAATCCTATCTTTAACTTAGCGTAAACAAGATTATCACAAACTATATTGGATGCTATATTGTGAAAATAATCCTTGCAAAAAAAC